ACACACCACCGAGGTCGTCACGCCGAAAGCCCGACCTCGACCACGACCAGTACGCAGGACGAGGTCAGCCACACGGTCGCCCATCAGTCCCCTCACTACGACTCCCGAGCCAGAGCCAGGGCCGGAACTGGAACTGGAATCGGAACCGGAACCAGAGATGGCGCAAATCGTCAGTCCCCGTTCACCCCACACACCTATTCCTTCCCGTAAGCGCGGACGATCGTCTGGGGAAGGGTCGATGCAGCCCGAAACACCCCACATCGAGAGCAACGAGGCCGCGGCTTCCCCGCCAGCGTCGCAGGAGACTCAAATGAACGATATCCAGATCCGACGGAAGCGCGTCCGCCACTGAGTATACCCACCAGACACTTTCACTCGTACTCTCACCCTCGTCTTGCTGTGCTGCATCTTGCTCGCGTGTAGAAGTAATGGTATCTGTATCAGTTATTCACTGTAGCAACAAACATGCATTATATGCGGTTTTGGATCAGCTGCATGGACATGTCCGTCAGAAGGACTAAGTTAGGAAATGCGTAAGGAGCGAGTGTGACAAACACCGGAAAGGAGCCATGTACAGATAGGCACTACACTATGTAACTATGCAATGAGGGGGGGATAAATATCGAAATAAAAGGTGTCGTCTTGAAATCGGTGAGCCGGCGTCAGCGTCGCCGCATGCGGCGAGGAGGCACCAGACCTTACGTCGTGAATTATAGTTAAAAATGGGTTCGCGCACTCGCCGGCGTGCACACACTCAACAGCCCGTCCGAATTGCGCCTCCTGGGCGAGAGGAGCGAGCTCCTCGTGCTGTAAACCGCCGACATGGACTGGCGCCGCGACGGGTGGTTTCCTCTGAGATCGTCCATCGAGATCCCGAGCATGTCGCACAGCTCCTTCTGGGCCTCGGTCATCGCCCTGAACTCGGAGGTGGGAGACTCGGACGAGAACGCTAAGACACGTGTCAGGACTCGCGCAACAAGAGCAAGAACCGGGAAAAAGGACGCACTCGTACGACCAGACGGGAAGTCTGTAACGATTCCAATCGCGGACCGGAGCGGGATGGGCGGGACAGG